TCAAATGAGGCTCGGAAAGGCTGACTGACTGGCTTAAAGCCACGGAACAAGCGTGGCAAAGCCCCGGCCTCTGGACTGGACAATCACTAGTGCATTTACTGTGGGTCGCTGCTGTCTTCCTAAACAGCCTGTCTTTCTGGATTCCCCGGAGACTCATCCTTGGGTTGGAAACACTCACTTTCCACAGAGTTGGGACTCAGGGAACAGGACCTCAGCCTGAGTGCACACACGGAACTGGGCCTGCTTTGCTATGGCAAGAAACCGACCTCGTTCAGACTTTCCATCTCCACTGACCCGACAGGAGCTAGAAACCTCTTGGGGAGCACAGAAGATGGAGAGTTCAGTCACCAAGTCCCTCTCCCCTGAAGGCTATGGTGTGGAGACCAGGAAAAGATGAAACTTCCCCAGCATTCAGTTGTCCTGGGGTGAATATTAAATTAGGAACATGCCTCTTCTCATCTTCACTCGGTAGCAGGAGTGGCCTGGCTTTCTGTCTCTGGAAATCTGCTTCCAAAAGGAAAGCAAATGATTTTTAAAAATGTAAAACCAGATGGGCACGGTGGTTCACACCTGTAATCCCAGCACTTGGGAGGCTGAGGCTGGAGGTTCCCCAGGAGTTCAAGGCCAGCCTGAACTACACAGCGAGACCCTATCTAAAAAAAAAAAAAGCAAGACCAGGAAGAAATGAGCCCTCGCCATAGGTCGATATCGAGATACCACCCCCCTTTTCTACTTCAGACTGCTCTGTATGGCCATCGGCATGCACATGCGTTAAATATTCCATACTTGGTGGTCAGCACGTGTGACCTTTTCTCATACATGCTCTACAGAGCACAGGAAGCACCCTGCTGGCTTCTTAAAATGAAACACACATTAGACCGACCCTTCCTCTGTTTTTAAAATTTGGGGGTTATTTTTGAGACAGGGTCTCAAGATGTAGTCCAGGCTGGCTTTAAACTAACAATGATCTCCTGCCTCCGCCTCCCAGTGCTGGAATTACACGCATGCACAGCTGTGCTGGGCTTGGACGCTTTCTCTGGTTGGGACTTTCTAGCACTATAGTCTCACGTTATGTCTCGAACAAGATAGGCACAGGTCTGTTGGCCAGACTACAGGTTATTTGTATCTAGCATTCTTTTGGTTTTTTTTTTGGTACTGGGGATTGAACTTGGGTCCTTGTTCTTGCACAGCAGGTGGTGAAGCCACTGAGCTAAATCCCCGGCCCTGTATCTAGCATTCTTTAAGACAAGGTACAGGCAGGACAAATACCAGGTATAGGGAAAACGGTAGCTTGTTTTGTGCTTTCCTAGGGGCTAGCTGATGGTGAATATGAACAGGTCTAAAACGGGCTGGGAATAAAATACACCCTGCTGGGCTTTCAAGAGCTCTTTGCAACTTCAGCACCACAGACCCAACACCGCCCCAAGCTCTTCTCTTCAGTAACTGGTGTTCAGGGCTTTAATTAACCGAGGCTAGGGATTTACTCCATCTCTGCAGTGCTGTTATTGCCTGCCAGTGCCCAGCAGCTAGCAGCAGCTTTGCCTCTTGCTCTCCGTGCCTGCCCTGCACAATTAGCTCCTCATTATAGCTGGCCTCTCTTCTAATCACTACATGGCTCAATTGAGCACTTTATTTTATTGTCTGGTTCCTGCACTAGTTCAAGGGTTCCCCAGCTATAATAAATCCTACCTCCTTTCAGGCAGGTGTTTGGAGTTTCCTGCCTCCTGAGGCCCATGAGAACACTCCAGGGACTGGAGGCATGCAAACACTTCCTGACCAGAGAGCCACTAGCTGAGCGTTCCGGGGTGTGGCACAGGGCTGGAGTCTGGCTCCACAACCATGTCCCAGGAACTCCACGCACAGGCTCCACGTCCTACTGCGCTGCGAGAGCTCTCTTCTTAGCAGCTGGGGCCACACTCTGATCCCCTGTATATTACTTTCTCTTTATCTAACAGGATGGGCTGAAACACATAAGGAAACATCTTGTGGGCAGCACAGCCCATGTTTCTCTAGAAAAAAGACTCACGGGATGTGAACAGACTCTTGCTTTTGGAACCACATCTAACTATAGTTTCCGGGGCAGTGGCCCAATACCACAAGAGCAAAGATTTTAGTGAATGAGGTGGAGTTCGGGGGAGGCTGTAGAAGGGGGCGGGGTGGGAGCGAGAACATCTGGACTCAAATCCTGCCTCTCCCATTCACTCCTGTAATTACGTTATCCGTGACCTTGCTCAAGGCACTGAATTGCTGTGCCTCGCTTTCCCAATCTGTAAAACAGGATTCAAGGGCTCTTATGAGGGAGGACTCAATCTTTGTACAGTGCTTGGCACATAGTAAGGATTACAAACAGCGTTAAAGATGCAGAAAGGGTAGGGTTTTAGGACAGACACATCTGCAAAACAGTACGCCCCTGCAGAACCCGCCGATGACAGAAAAACAAGCTGGCTTACAGAATGCTGTGCTATCCTTGGCTCCTTGATTTTTCTGGCCATTATATGTTCTTTGAATCACTTCACTAAACTAAAAAAGAACTTTGAATTTATGAATTTTAAAAACATCTAATGCACTATCACAACAAAGGAAATAAAAATGTTCTGGCAGCATTTAAGTTGAATGATTAGTGAAGGTATGTTGTTTTCACTAGAGAATTTAAAATGAACACTCAGCTGTTTGCATCTCTTCATACCTACCTGGCCTAATATAACACTCAACGTTATTCAGAAAGTACTGCTGACCTTTCTCCAGCGAGGAACCTTTTGTCAATTGTCAAGATGGTTCAAATACACGTTCTATACTTTTTAAAAAGTTTTTATTACTTCCGCAGTGCTGGGGATCACACCCAGGCCTTCACATATGCTAGGCAAGCACTCTACCACTGAGCTACACTGCTAGCCCTGTTCTGTATTTTCAAAAACATACAGAAAGGCTTTTCTATAAAAATAACTCTATGGGATACATTTTTTTTTTCTTTTTTTGGTACCGGGGATCAAACTCGGGTCCTTGCACTTGCGTAGCAGGCGTTGAAACCACTGAGCTAAATCCCCAGCCCCAATGGGATACATTTTTAACAACAACAATAATAACAAAAACAACTACGCGACTCCATGGTATCCAAACTCAGATATTCTCCTGTGTCTCCTCTGATTTCCTGCCACCCTTTACATCCTTAGTTCCTTTAGACATCCTAGTTGAAATTCCACTTCTAAGGTCTCCATGCTTTCTCTGGCACAAGACACCGTATCTAACACCAAGAGTTCCTTGCTATCCCAGACTCCCTCACACAGAATTGCTGTCCAGTCACACAAAGGTGTGTACCCATGTGCCATTCCAAGGGGGCACCTGTGCCTTCGTCAGGAAGGCCTCCCTCCCAGCCTCAGGCTCCCAGTTTCTCTGGAGGGCAGAGTCCAGTCCCACAAGGTGTCCTCCCTTCAGGTGCAATGTAGAGAGCTATGCAGAGGCCGAGGAGGTGGCTACCATGGTCAGCACGTGGTGGCACCTCTTCCCCACGACTCTTTTAGACACTGTCCAATTCCACTACCCATGATGGCATCACCATAGCTCTAACCACAGAGCTCTGCAGCCCTGTTGACTCCCGAGCCTTGCCCTCTACTGTACCTGGGGAGCTTCTTTGGGTGGAAGTTGTGTTTTGCTCATTTCAGTGATCCAAAGCTAGCACAAAGCCCCTCTATAGTAAGTTCCTGATATGTAGTTATCTGTGATACTGTATTTGAAGCCACTGTCTGAGAAACACCTCCTTTATGATTAAGCTCACAAGGATTACTTTCACAGGGAGATTCCTCAAAAATAGGACATCAAGAAAGTGAGTTGGGCCGGGGATTTAGCTCAGTGGTTTCGCTGCCTGCCACACAAATGCAAGGACTTGAGTTTGATCCCCAGAAGCAAAAAAAAAAAAAGAAAGTGAAGTTTTGGGCCAGGGATTTAGCTCAGTGGTTCCATGGCCTACCTCGAAACCACAAGGTCCTGTGTTCGATCCCCAGTACCAAAAAATAAAAATAAAAAAAGAAAGTGAAGTTTTGCTATGTGTGTTAGCTTGTTTGTTTTTGGTACTGGGGATCGAACTTGGGTCCTTGCGCTTGCGCAGCAAGCAGCGAAACCACTGAGCTAAATCCCCGGCCCTGCTGTGTTAGTGCACACCTGTAATGCCAGTAAGCTGGGAGGCTGAGGCAGGAGGATCTCAAGTTCAAGCGCTGTCTGGGCAACTTACAGACTTAGCAAGTCTATCTCAAAATAAAAAACAAAAAGAAAAAAGGGCTGGGGATGTCACGCGTGCGAAAGTACTGGGTTCAATCCCCGTACCAAAAAAAAAGAAAAAAAAAGAAAAAAAAAAGTGAAGCTTCAACCAGTTTGGTTTAACTTTCTCCTCATTCATCCGCTTGGTTCCTTTAAAATTTGCATCGTAATCTGTCTGCCCCTCCTCCGTGGGCTCCTTTCTGTGACCGAGCTTCACCTTGCAGGTATCCTGTCAGCGTGTGTGAGGCCCAGACTCCCACTGCGCGCCTCCGGGCGATGCTCTCTTCCAGGCAGCTCCACAGCTCCCGGCGATCCCCTCCGCGGAGCCGGGGATTCCGGAAGTGCGGAGACGCCCCAGGCACCGCACACTTCGCGCCGCCAGCTACCCAGATCCTCCCACTTGCTCTCTTAGGACGACGCTAAGGCGACCACCGAAGCAAAGGGACCTCGCGAGGTCCTGGGTCCAGGTTCGGCGCGCGCGGGGGTGGGGGTGGGTCCACTCCCGGCCCAGACCCTTCCCCTAGAGAGTGACTTGAAAGGGTTGCGTCGCCTCATCTCCTCCACCATCCCAGGGACCCAGGAAGCGGCCAATCGCGACATCGCTTCCCTCGCTGGGGGCGGGGGTCCTCCTCTCTCCCCACTGCTCCGAATCCAGCTCCGAGCAAGTGCACCCCGCGCCGGCGCACGCGAGAGCCCGGCCTCCCGCCTCCCCGGCTCCCTCTCCCGGCCCAGCTTCCGTCCCCACTGACCGCGAAGCCGGTGGCAGTTCCCAGTCCCAGACCCCCGGCGGGGCTCCCGCCGCCGCCGTCGTCTCCCTGTGTAGTCGCCTCGGGACCCGGCCGCGGGCTGCGGCGATGACTCCCCGGCCCGAGGTGCCGCGGCTTGCCGGGCTCAGCCACACACCCGGCGACGTGCAGGAGCAGCCCATCGAGGTCCCGGCGCTGGCTGCGGCCGCGGCTACAGGACCGGCAGCGGCGCAGCTTGGTGACGCGCGGGCTCGTGGCCGGCGCAGGCGGATGACGTAGCGCGGCGGCTCAGCAGCATGGCGTCCGTGTCGCTGAGCGAGGCGGAGAAGGTGTACATCGTGCACGGCGTCCAGGTAGTAGCTCCAGCCTCGGTGGCCCGGGTTCTCTTACCTGCGGCTCGCCAGGGAAGAGCGTCCAGGCCGCTGCGAGACTGGCTGGCCTCGTGTCTTACCGGCGCGGTGTCCGCGTGTGCTGCCCGGAGCTGGCGTCTTGGGACCCTGAGGCAGAGGGCGCGCTCGGCATTGATTACCTCTTGCAGCCTTTCGGGTAGATGAGATTCGGTCCTCGCCCGGAAGCGGGGAGCAGCCGCTGGGGCCGTCTCTGAGGGCGCTTTGGCCTCACGGGCTGCATTCAGCTTTCGCGCCTTCCTGAACTGAGTTCCGTGTTCTCCCCCAGGAAACGAGGTGGGCATCTGGCCCACTTTTCCTGACCTCGTGCTGGGGAGACGCAGAGATAGCGTGCACCTGAGGTGAAAGCGCTTTGAAAATACACAGCGCTTTACAGAAAGCAGCTTGGCAGCCGAGATCATGATTGTTGCTGCTTCCCATCTTCAAAGTGGAGAACTAAGCGCCCTACGCAGCCATAGCTAAAATTTTCTATGCTCACACTTTGGCTCCTGGTTTCGACCATTCCTGGTAACGATGTACCTGGTATCTCTTCCCGACTGTGTCCCCACTTGTGAATGCACGGGGAGGTGCTCCTCTCAAGAGTTCTTCAGCCCTCTGAAACTGGACCCTGGAATGAGAATTGTTGGCTCTTGTAACTGCCCTGTGTAGCTCTTGGCCTGGGTCAGTGGGTTGGTGTCCCTCTCTCCTGGCTAAGAACAATACAGAACTTGGCATTTTGCTTCCAGTCTGCAATTAAATCCTACTTAAATACCTCTGACCTTTAAATTCTCAAGGAGCACAAGAGGCATTCTCAACATGCTGCGTTTTTGCTTTTGCTGTGAGACTCTCTGATGGCGCTGGAGGCAGCTCCCTGGCTCTGGGGCAGCTGAATGCTATGGGCAGGTGGATGCTCCTGGCAGTGGTGCTGGTGCTACTGCCTGCTCGCCTGCTTCAGTCTATGAAGCTTGTTTTGGAATTTTTTTCTCTTGGGTTTAAGATATAATTTTAATCATTTATTTTTGTTACCTAAGCAATGTATTTTAATCGTAGCAAACCTGAGAAAATAAAAATTAAAGGGAAAATTTTCAAAAAAAAAAAAAAGAGTTCTTCAGCTCAGCCAGCGGAGCCCTGGTGGCAGCTCTTCCCATTTCCTTCGTGCTTTCCCCCTGCCAGGACCAAATTGGAAAGTCACATGAAGGCAACCCCTAGAGGTCCACAGCGTCAGTAAAGACTATGTCCTTTCTTTTGAGGCAGGGTCTCCCTTTGTATTTCAGGCTTGCCCTGAACTCACTGTGTAGCCCAGGCCAGCCTCAAACTCTTGGCAATTCTCCTGCCTCAGCCTCCCTTGTGCTGGGATTATAGGCGTGTGCCAGTGGAATATGCAACGTCAATATTTAGTCAGTGGGTTGCCTATTAAACTTGGATTTAAAAAGTCAAAACTCACAATTCCATGAGCTTTTTAGTCTCAAGAAAAGGAGGATTCATGGCAAGAGCCAGAAAGATCCCACGCGGTGCTCCCAGGCTCTGTAAGGGATCACATTGTCTGTGTAGCTGTCTGTAGCAATAACCCTGCTTTTCCTGTCAGAGTATCTCCTGTCTCTGTGAACACTTGCTACCCAGCATCTCTTACGCCTTAGTAAAATCTGCCCTCCTCCATACCTTTCCTTTCCTTTCCAGCTCCCTACCACATTGTGACCTGTTGACCCCTCTCTTTGTTTTTTTTTTGGTACCGGGGATCGAACTTGGGTCCTTGTGCTTGCGCAGCAGGCGGTGAAACCACTGAGCTAAATCCCTGACCCCCTGTCTTTGTTTTTAAGACAGGATCTTGCTTGTTCATTCTAGCCTTGAGCTCACTGTGTAGCCCAGGCTGGCCTCAAACTTGTGATCCTCCTGCCTCAGCCTCCTGAATGCTGGTATTACAGGCATGCGCCACCATGTCCAGCAGCTCCTCTTTAACTCTTTTCTTTGAAGTGTTTCCCAGATCATAGATGGAGTCAAGTGAGAGAACTAGTTTGGCCTAGTAGTATTCCATGCCCTGAAGAGCTGGTACTCCTGTGATTGTACACCTTCGAGTCACACACTTACCTCTAGCCCTGGCTGCTGAGGGAAGATCGTGACTCAGTTATGTGGCTACTGAAGAGCTGTAGGCACAGTGGGCTTCCCCACCGTCAGCCTACAGGAAACTGGCCGCCACGGGTTCCCCCTGGCCTAGCAGTTGGTTAACCCCAGCCCAGAGGCTTTCCTCTTGGGGTCCCATCATGGCTCCTTCTTATATGTTCTTGTGTGAAGGAGATGTGGCTCAGCCAATGGTTTGTTGCTTTTCTGTGCCCCTAGCTTTCATCATGATCCATTGTGGGGGACTCGGCACAGGAGAGAGAACAGCTACAGCACAGAGCCCAGGCATGGGCCTCAGCTGTGAGGTTGTTAGCACTCAGGCGCTCAGTCTGGCAGTGGCAGATTGGAACCAGCCCCCAACACTCTTGCTAAATAGCTTCCCTCTCTGGCACAAACAGGAGGCTGAAACTTGGTGACAGAGTTTCCTTGTCTGTACCCTCTTCCAGGGTTAGTTTTGAGGGCTCCATGAGCTTGCACAGGCCCAGGAGCAGGGGAAGGGCACTGCTTTGAAGGGCAGGCTGAGGGTGGCACCCTAAGTGATCTGTGCCTTTTGTCTCTCCTGTAACTAGGTGGGGGTTGTTCCTGCTTTGTGGATGCAGAAACAGGCACTTGCTTGGGGTCCTGAGAGCTGGTGTGTGACGGCAGAGACACTGGTCAGAAGGTGACTCTTCTATTGTACCACACCCAGGGCAGTGCTGTGGGAGCAGCCGTGGAAATGGCCAGGAGCTGCCCCGAATCCCGAAGCCCTTGCTTCAGAAAGTGCTCAGTCTCTTCGGCACAGGACGGGGCACCGCACCACCATGTGTGTCAGCCATTGACCTCACCCTCGGCTCAGGGCAGCCCGTGTGGAAGAGCTTCCGCCCGCTCTCTGGGACAATGCTCTGCTCCTGAGCACCGAGTGCTGCAGATGCTAACAGCTGTGCTGAGGCTCTAGGCCCTGAGCCAAGCCAGGCAGCTTTAAGCAATTTCCTCAGCTTTTTATAAAGGAAAAGCAGATTGCAAAGATGTTGGCCTGGGTGCAGTGATTCATAGACTGGGTCCCCCTTGGCCCCTCACCCCAAGAGGGAGAAAATGTGTCTTACGAACCCTCGGAAAGGGCTTGTGTTTTCTCTTGCTTGTCACCTGAGCCTTTCCTAAGAGGCAAAGAGTAACTAAAGGGTAGAAAGCAAGCTCTGACGAGGCCCCATTTTCTGACACATCCAGCCCTACCTCAGGAATGGGAGTTGTCACTTCCAGGAGGTGTGACTGGATCTTTCCAGAGTGTGGCATTTTATTTGGGGGGGGGGGCCTGGGCAGTTTTATTACTCGTTCCCTGAACCTCAGCTGCCTCATGAATAACACCCATTTCACAATGATAATAAATACAGGAATGCAAAAACAGTATTTGCCTAGGTCATACTGTACCCTCAACAAAGGTCCGTCATCAGCTGCCATTATTTATGTGCCCATGTCACCACAGGGATGGAAGGTTTAACAGAAAACAGGTTTTTGCTCCCAGGACATGTGAGCTGCCCATTTGTCCTTCATTTCCACAGGTGTTCTGTCCTGGACTTCTGCTAGGTGGCTTTCATCTGCAAAGCTGAGAAAGGCCATCTGGGCTGTTTGGGTAGAAGACACTAGTGTTTAATCTTCCAGCCTGACAGACCTGGACACGTTCTTGTCTATGTAGAAGACTTTGTTGGGGAAGGCAGAGAAGCCGAGGCTGGTGCCCTGGCTGTACCTTCAGCTCATGGTCCGGTCATAGTCCTGCTGCAAGTTCTGCTGCAGGGTGTTGGCCACCGCCTTGCTGAGGGCCATGTTGGGTCTTGCAGTCATGCTAGGGGGGCGGCTGAACGAAGGGGACCGATTCTTAAAGCCAGCCATAAGTTTGACAAAGTTCAGTTTCTGTTCCTAGCTTTCAAAAGCTGCCGTATCCCACTGGCCAAACCGAGTCCCGTCCGCTTCCTGGGTTCCGAACCTTCTGTCTTGCCCGACTCCCGATCAGTCTCTTCTTGCAAGACCTTGCGCCTCACCTGGTCTGTGTGCGCCTCATCCGTGTTGCCTTTTTTGCCCAGCGCTAGCCCCAGGTCTGTGTCTGGTGCCTTCAGAGGGTCTGCTGCTACCATGCTCTCTTTCTTCCTCGTTTTCTTGCTTTTCTGAGCCAGCTCCTTAACAACTGGCTGTTCCACCTTTTTCTTAGGGTTTGTTTTCATCTTCCCTGGGGCCTTAGGGTCACCTCCTATCGGGATGTACTCTAGAACCTCAGCTTGGACCAGCCGCTGCTTTCCTTCCCTAGGGTTGCTCGCCGTGGACCTGGGGAGCTCCCTGGCCTAGGAGGGCGTCTTCCTCCTGGTGGACTTTCTTCTTCTTCACTTTCCCACTGTGTTCTCTGGAGCTGCCCTGCTTCCGTTTCTGCCCCAAGGCTGCCTGCTCCTCCGCCCCCTTCCCCACTGTGCATCCATAGGAAGCATCTCCGGCCCTGTAAGGGCCGCGGGTCCTGGATGGGGCAGGCTGTGCTACCCTGGGCCTTTTTTTTTTCTTTCTTGTGTTTTCTGAGCTTCTTGCCTCCTCACCCTGTCTGGGGTCTGGGGAGGCCTTTAGCCCTGAGCCCTGTGACCTGGCCAAAGGCAAGGACTTCTTCTTTTTTTTCTCCCCTCTGAAGGACTCTGAGTGGTCAAGGGCCAGCTTCCTGGGGCTGGGGGACTTCTCTGTCCATCTGGCTCGTGATGTGGGCTCAGATTCTGGGAGCTCCTCACAAAGGGTGCTGTGGCCTTTCTTTTTCTTGTTTTTCTTCTTCACCAGGGGTACCTTGGGGGCCTGCCCTTGGCTCATAGTCCTAGAGGGGGCTGTGGCCCTCATAGGAGAAGTATCAGCAAAATAATTGCCATCATTTATAATTGAGGATCAAGTCTCTGGTTTTTTGACCCCTTTTTTCTATTTCTTTTTTTTTCTCCAGGAGCGCAAGGTCTACTTTGTGAGTTTTGGTGATCATTTCTGCAGGTCAAACCTCCCCGCCTTCAAGTGCGAGTGCGCTCTGCTGTGACCAGAGTGTGGCCTTTTAAAAGCAGTGGTTGCTCCCTCCTGGCCGTGTGGCCTTGGCCCAGGGTTTGGGTGTCCTCCAGCCTCAGTTTCCCATTGGTGAAATGGAACGAGGAAACTTGTGGGGTGCTGTGAAAGACAGACGTAGGATTTGAGTGTTTCTCACATGTTGTCTAATCCGCAGTAAGTGCACAGTGCACGGTAGCTCCTGTTATTTGATGTGCGTAATTGCAGCCATTTCACAGTCTGTGGAATTAGAGAATTACCTTGAGAGCCGGGGATTTAGCTCAGTGGTTCCAGCACCTGCCTCCCAGGCACAAGGTCCTGAGTCCGATCCCCAGTACCAAAAAAGGCATGCAATCTTTCATAAAAGAAAGAAGGAAACAAACAAACATTCACATATCTGCTCATTGGTGGAGAGGAAATACAAGAAGGATAAAGCAGAAACTAAAGAAATGTCTCACTAACCTGGGGTGGCTGTGGGTGGTGGGAAGGGGAACCTGAGGGGGGTGCAGTGCAGACAGGGCCGGTGACATTTCTCTGTGCTTACCCTTGCTGCAGCGTTGACTCTGGGAACCACAGTGATATTCTGAGTACCAACAAGGGAGTAGTTAACCAGGGTGCTGCAGAACCCAAAGGGAAGTAGAGACAGTTACAGATGAGCCTGAGTTACAAGTGAGTGTTAGGACCGAACACAGGAGGGGCGGGAGCAGGTTTTGGCTGGGTACAGTGGGGCCACAGACAGTAACTCTGCTGTTGGTACACTCACTTCTCCTAGGGATGGAGCTTAGCAGCTCTGAAACTGCTTCATAATAAGACTGAACAAATACAGAAACATACTGTGACAGAGACAGACAGACAGACAGACGTAGTAGGGATTGATTGCACTGAGCCACATCGCCACGCTTTTTAAATTTTGAGGCAGTCTAAGTTGCCCAGCATGTCCTTGAACTTGCAGTCCTCCTGCCTCAGCCTCCCAGAGCACTGACATTCTAGGCCACCGCACCTGGCTGACAGGCAGCTTTCCCCATCTTAGAAGTTACCAATGAGAAAAGAGGAAGGTTGGCGAGAACCCTGTGGGAACCGGATTGGAGATGTCAGTATGAACTCATGGCTTTTCAGTAGGTCTGTGGGTGCAGAATTACACCTGCCTGTGTGGGAGCGGTCCTAGCATACGTACATACGTGTTTTTCTAGAAGCAGTGCTGCCCGCTGGTGAACTTAGCACCCAGAACCTGGTTTTTAAGAGTGTGCTCTGTGGGCCGGGGATTTAGCTCAGTGGTTTTCTCGCCTGCTGTGCAAGCCCAAGGACCCGAGTTCGATCCCCGGTACCAAAAAAAAAAAAAAAATAGTGTGCTCTGGTAGAAGAAACCAAGGCCGGGCACGGGGAACATGAGAGGCTGGGCGGCTTGTGTTGTGCAAAGGTAGAGGTGCTCCAAGGAAACCGGAGGTGTTGAAAGCCCAGGAACCGACCCACAGGTGCTGCCAGGGGCCAGGTGTGGGGCAGAGCAGTGGTCTTAGTGGGTTATGCACAGCCGTAAGCAGATGTGTGTCCGAGTCGTGCTGCTGTGAACGGTGGCAGAGGTGAGTCCTCGGGCAGACCCACGGACGGACAGTGTGCAGACCGCCTCAGAAACCCCCAGAGAGGAGCTGGGAAGGCTCAGCGGCTTTCCCATCGCTCACGGCCCACTCGCCTCTCACCTCTGCCGTGGTAGGGAAAATGAATGGGCGTGGCCACAGCCCTTCGCCTGCCGCCCTGCTTTAGGAGAGCAGCTGCTCCTAGCTTCCTGAGGGCGCTGTGGCGGGAGGCCGCGGTGGAGGCAGCCCACCCCGTGGCTGGGCTGAGAGGGCTGCTGGGGAACTGTCAGCTTGCAGGTGTGGAGGCAGGTGGCCGCTTCGAGCATGTGCAGACGTCCTGTTTGGCGCACGCGCCCCGCTGGCAATGTGCTCGGTGGCCCTGTCACACGGCGTGGCTGCGGGACCTTGCACAGGTCGCTGGACTCACCCAGGCCTCCTCGTGTGTCGCTGGCAGTGTCGGTGTTAGCCGGGGGCAGGATTCCCGCTGAGGAAAGGAGATGCGCTGCGGTCTCTCCAGGGGCAAAATCATGCGCCAGCCTCGAAGGCCCTGTGGCGCGGGGTCACGGCCTCGGGCGGTGTCGTTAACTCAGGAGGACCTCCGCGTGGATGGCCGCAGCTGTGAGGACTACCGGTGCGCGGAAGTGGAAACCGGCGTGGTGTCCAACACCAGCGGGTCTGCCAGGGTCCAGCTGGTGCGTACTGGGGCGGGGCGGCTGGCCCTGGGGAGCGGGGTCTGTACCGGCCCCGAGGGACCCCTCCTCCTAACACACCCGCTTAGCCCCCAGTCCGTGTGCTGCTCCTCAGAGCCCTTGGCCTGGGCGCTCGGAAGCAGAAGGCCGTGGTTCCTGGCTGCCTGCCCTGACCGAGGGCCCTTCTCGCTCCTGTCCCCAGGGTCACACAGACATCTTGGTGGGGGTGAAAGCAGAAATGGGGACGCCGAAGCTGGAGAAGCCAGACGAAGGCTACCTGGAGTTCTTTGTTGACTGGTCAGTACTGCGGGTGTTTTAGTTTTTGTTTTTTGGTACTGGGAATCGAACTCAGGGCCTCATGCTTGCCAGGCAGGCACTGCACTGCTGAGCTACATCCCCGGCCCCTCGTGCAGGTGTTTCTAAAGACTGATTTAAAGCGTGAAGATTCGGAAAACAAACCTCTAGTTTCCTATGGAGGCTTCATTTTCTCTGCATTTATTTAACCCCTCAGCTTTCCAGGAAATGTTTGCTGACTTGGTACAGGTAGGTCTGGACGGAAGTCCTGCCCTTGTCTGAGTGGCCTGGCCTTGTTTGTCCTGATTTGCCCTGTCTGAGAGGAAGGACACCAGCCCAGTACATAGGTGTGAGGCCAAGCCGAATGTGTCCCTGCTCTGCAAAGTGCCAGACTCAGATAGTGAGGACCATTTGGTCCAGGATGGCCTGTCTCTTCCTGGTGTAGCTCTGCAGAAAACTGTTCTTGACTTGCACCCACCAGGCTGCAGAGGTGGCTGCTGGGAAGCTCGGCCAGCCCTGGGCCACAGTCACACTTACTTCTGGGTCTCCAGGGTGGTTCCTCTGTGCCCAGTTTCTCCATCGCAAAGGTGGAGGTGATAAAAGCCACAATGAGGAGGAAGTGAAGGCTGAGCAGGCACCCGGCTTGGTGACTGGTGCCCAGGGGGCTCTCGGTCGTGTCATTTCCCTCCTTGTCCAGGGAGGGCCTGGCCTCCACTTCTGTCTGTAACCCTGCTTCCGAGGCCAGTGTGGACAATGGCCTGGCAGGTTGTCTGTTGGCCCCTGGAGGCGATGATGTGTCAGGTGTCACGAGGCCACCTCTGCCTGCATGGACCGTGGGGTGGACTGACAGGGCCTAGCGGTGCTGTGGTTTGGACAGCGGTGAAAACACAGCGACTGTCTGCGACCTTCCTGCCCAGGGATGCCCACTAAAGACTGGGCACCGGGAGTTTTCACTCAGGGCTGGGCACATAGGCACCCTCTCTTCACACACACAGCTCCAGACTCCTGCAGGGAGGGCCGGTGCAGTGCACAGAGGTCTCTGTCCTACTGATGGGACTCGGGCCCGGCTCCCAACGCCAGAGGCGGCATGTGGAGTGTGCAGAGGCGGTGACTTTCCCAGGGCCTTACTGCTCAGGGCCCAGCTCCATTCCATCCCACTGACTGGTCTGTCTGCTTTGTGCAGCTGGAAGGGGCCGGCCTTAGAGGGCTTGTGATGGACGCCCGGCGTAGCCACGCTGGTCTCTGGCCGGTGTCTCCAGCCGCTCCCGCCTCCTCCAGCCCCGGCTGCCCGCGCTGCCCCGTGGAACTGGCTCTGTCACGCGAGCGCGGATGGTGGCGACCTTGCCCAGGCCCCTGCTCGTCCTTTTGCTCATGGAGGAAGTGCAGTGCCTCTCCTGACCTTGATCCGCCCAGGCCAGGGCAGGGGACGGTGACCGAGGAGAGGAGCTGCCCTTCGCTTTCCTTCCCTTGCCCCGGGTCGCCTCTGCCTCACTCATGGGAGGCCACCCAAGCCTGTCGCTGTCGCTGTCGCTCAGCTGCCCTGGGATGCCCGTACCGTACCGGGGAGCATTCGCTGTGGCAGGCCCGCCTGCGCTCAGCCCTACGGGGCCTCCCCTGGGAAGGGGCCTCTGAGCAGCCTGGGAGGAGCTGGCTTCTGGAGGCAGCATCACTCCCGGCCCAGGAACTGCCGCTGGCCTCTTCCTCCTCGTAAGTCGGAGAGGGACCTGGGCAGGCTCAGGAGTCCGGTCCTGGGGCTCTGAGCACGCCCTGGGGTGGACTGTCTCCAGGTGGCACATGGGCCCTTCCAACAGGAGGCGAGAGGCTGCCGGGTGCTGGCTGCCACCCAGATCAGAGCCTGCTGGGCGGCCGGGGGCAGCCCTCCACTGCCTCACTCACGCGTCCTGCGGTCCTGCCCAGCACAGACCGGCTTCTGGCCACCTGGATGCCCCAGCAGGAAGGGGCCGCACACCCCTGCACCCCTCCCTGGCACTGGTCTCTGCTCCCTACTGGGAGAAAAGTAATTGGTGCGCGGGCTGGGGGTGTCCCTGCTGTCACTCTGCTCTAGCTTGATTTAATTCCTTATTGGCAGCTTCCAGGTTTTAATTATTTAAATTCCCGAGGGTAGAGAGGCCTCAGAAAGCTAATTGCCTACCCGCTGACTCATGTCCCTTTGGGTTTGTCTACTTGGAATGATGGCACGCAAGCCCGGGAGACAGCACCTCTCCCTGTCCACCCTGCGTCTCGGGAACGCCGGAAACGCCATGGGTCTCAGCCCTTTGCCGAGGCTGCCTGCTGCCCTGACCCCCAGCCTGCTCGCAGATGCCTGACTATAGTTTCTCTGAACTGGAAGCCAAATCAGACTTCCCAACCCTGCTTCTTGCCTTGGCCTGCTGGTGGGAGCCTGAGAATGCACATTTTAAATGAAAACTCGGAGCCCACGGGACTGGTCTAGGACCCAGAGGAGGCAAGCGTAGTAAGCTAGCACGTCTTCATGGCTGCCGCTAGGTGGCAGGCCGTCGAGGGTCTTAGCCCTGTGACGCTGCGCGGCTTTAGCACTGTTTGGGCTCTGGGGGAGGCGTGGCTTTCAGCTGGGGTAGGAGACTGTTTGATTCGTAAGTGTCTGCGGGGTCCCCGTTGGCCTTAACTCCTTGTCAGTGTCTTCTCTGGTGCCCTTCACAAACGCAGAGCCGGGGTCCCTGCCGCCCGCCTCGGTGGGTGGGATGGCTTCCCTGCCCCTTAGGGCCCACTGCGTGCTGCTGGGAGCAGGTCAGCTCTGGGCTGAGGGCCAGGCTGAGGACAGCACAGGCAGCCTGCCCAAGCCGCAGAGGCCGTTTGTCCTCAGGTCTCCAGCGCGGTGAGGTCACTTCCGGAAACTGCGCAGCCGCTTGCAGTGGAAGGTTGAGGAGTCTGCCTGCGGCCGGAGGGCTGCATGTAGCCTGCTCAGTACCCCTGAATCACACACAGGCTTGCTTGGTTGTGCAGGAAGCAGCCGTGGGGCTGGAGTCCAGACTCTGTGCCAGGTGAACGTGGCCCTGATTGCAGGCCACCCGGGTTAAACCAGAGATGTCCCAGCCAGAGGAGCGGAGTGGAGGTGCAGGGTGCAGAGGCGCAGGGTGCAGATGCGCCAGCTGGGAGGAGGAGTGCCAAGATGTGGGTGACGCCAGGCTGCAGCTCTGGGGCGGGGAGTGGTCCTGCCTAGGAAGCGCCTCTGTCAGATTGCCGACCATAGCTGCATTGTGGTGCATATGATTTGTTTTTTCTGGTACCGGGGATCAAACTCAGGACCTTGCGCTTGCCAGGCAGGTGCGGCACCACTGAGCTACATCCCCGGCCCTCGTGGTGCATGTGAGCAGGGAGCTGGAGTTGGCAGCCAGGGTCCTCTCCACACCCCCAGCTGTGTATCTACCCACGAGTGTGCTCTCTGACGGCGTTTGGGGTGTAGTACTGAGTCCCAAGCCAGAGCAGCCGCTCAGTGTCTGGAGGCAGAGGTGAGCCTGAGGAGAAGCTCACGGACCGCTGTTAGGGGGCAGCCCAGCGTGCGGGGCCCTGGACACACTGACGTGCCCTTCCTGACTTAGTTTCCGAACCCCTGAAGTGGAGACAGCGCAGTGGCAGAGCACTTGCCTCTGGGTTCAATCAGTCCCCACCACCACAAAAATAAAATGGCAGCCGAACTTCCCTGGGCAGCTGTGAGAGTGCAGTGGTTTGTAGCTTTGGGGACCTTTTTAAAGTCAGTGCAGTTATGTGGGGCGTGGTGGCACACACCTGTGATCCCACCACTTGGGAGTTGAGGCAGGATTGTGAGTTCAAGGCCAGCCTGGACTCCATAGTGAGACCCTCTCCCAAGGGGAGCAAAAAGTTGCTCAAGTTTCCCTCCTTGTAGAATGAAAAAGCCACCCTGCAGGTCGTGTCCCGCCCATGAGGTTTTCGTTTCACCTGTGGGGTGTCTGCTTAAAGGGGAATTAAAATGCCCGGAGAGTGCCCAAGTCGCTGTCCCACTGCTGGCCCGTGCCCCTGTTCCGTCCCCTGTCGCTCGGGGGCCCTTTCCAGTCCGCACTTCTCCTGACTGGTGGAAGGGCCCCTGTGCCGTGCGTGCTCCCAGGATGAGGTGGCCCCTCGTCCCTCCCGCCCACATCCGTTCTTCAGCAGAGCGGGCTCTGGCTCTTCTTCCTTGCTGTCCGAGCCTCCCGCTGTCCCAGCCTCCTCCCAGAGCCAGAGCCTGCCCTGGTCCCTGAGGCGGGAAGAAGGGCGGTGTGTCTAAAGCCAAAGGCTTGGAAATGGGCAGAATTTCCACTGCAGAGAAACCTCGTCTCAGGAACCCACAGGGCCAAGGCTTTGTAGACAGACTGGCTTAGATGCTGGATCCAGGCACAGAGGGCGCACTTACGGTGGTACTCAGTCCTGCCTACCGGGAGGGGCACCGCCGCCTCAGGCTGAGCGCGCACGGAGGCCCTGCGGAGGTATTTTGAAGCACCTGCAGCACAGGGCTTCGTGTCAGTGGCCGGGGTTTAAAATTAGAAGGAAGCTGTGGTTGCAGGCTGTGCAAAACAAAGACTTGGTCCCTGGTGACTCCATTATTTCCCGGAGCCGAGTGGCATTTCACAGCTTGACGCCGAGTCCCGCCGAGGTAGTGAGGGAACAGTGGCGTTGCTATGGCAGTGAGGCAGGTTCCCTTGGAGCTCTTTAATTGGCTCCCAATGGCCCACGGGGTGAGGAAGCTGAGGTAATTAGACCAGCAGAGTCGCTGTACAGTGGCCGTGGTTCTTCCCTTTGGGGGGCATACTGGGCACTGACCCAGGGAGCACAGTGTTACCCATCTCTATTTCGAGATGAGATCTCGTCAAGCTGCCCAGGCTGGCCTCACACTTGTAACCTTCCTGCCTCAGCCTCATGAATAACTGGGATTAAAAGCATGTGCCATGCCATCCAGTGTTGCCCACTTTTTATTTATTTATATTTATTTATTTACTTATTTATTTTGGGGGGGATACCAGGGATTGAACTTGAGTCCTTGCTTGCACTTGTGCAGCAGGTGGCGAAACCACTGAGCTAAATCCCTGGCCCTGTTGCCCGCTTTTTAACTGGGTTTCTTTTAGCTTTTTATTGGGGGGAGGCAGTACTCCATACCCCAGTGCTTTTTCTTTCTTGAGGCAGGGGCTCACTGCAGCCAGGGCTGGCCTGGACTTTAGATACTCCTGCCTCGGCCATCCCAGTAGCTGGGATTTCGGGCACACACCTAGATCAGGGCAGCTCCTGCGGCTTTGGTGGCACAGCAGGGTGCCCTGTCCCCCACCGCTCCTGCCTGCGCCTCCACCATCTGCTCCCTGCTGTCATCCTGTCCTTCCTCAGGAGACGCTGCAGGCCTGGCTGTGTCCCCTTGCTCAGTCTCGGTCACTGGTCCTTGCCGTGCAGACGAGGGCTGACAGACCTCTGGGTGCTTTTGCAGAGTCTGCAATGCAGCAGCGGGTTTCTCACCTTTCCTGGCCGCTGTCATCACTTCCCTCCCAACAGACAGCTCGGGTGGGCTGAGCCCACACTGAGCGATTTCCCAGGAGGGTGGCGAATATTGCGACTTGTGGGTTCTTTGAAGAAGCAATTGGACACAAGTAGCAAAAGGCCAAGAAAGAAACATTTTCTTCCTCTTGAAAAATAGCAAATAAAAGGGGCTAAGTGGATATTTAGTCAGGCAACAGCCCTTCTCTTGTTCCCATTTCTTTTCCTTCTCTTAGCACAGCGCCAGCCTAAGGTCTGTCCTAGGCGTGTGGGGAGTCTGCAGAGCGGCTGCATTGGACACGGGTTCGGTCCTGGACACCGGGCTGGTGTGTGGTGGAGCCGCCAGAGCAGGGCATCCATTGTGCCTACCCAACTGTGCTCCTGCTTCCCCCTGGCCAGAGGGGCTTCTGTGGCAGTCGCTGGGAAGTCCCACGCACACACACCCGGCCAGGCGCACACATGCCCGGCCAGGCAGGCGGCAGACACACCCTTCCCTCGCTGGTCCTTTCCCTCGGCCGAGCCCTCCGCCCAGGCTGTCCCCACCCCAGTGATTGTCCCAACAGCAGGGGGCTCCCCCAGCCTCACAGGGGAGCCTGGGGGTCCTGTCCTCCGCTCCTGGCATCTGGAAACACTCGGGCTTTGCCCCTCCTGTTCCGTGCAGCTCAGCCAGTGCCACCCCTGAGTTCGAAGGCCGCGGAGGGGACGACCTGGGCACCGAGATCGCCAGCACCCTCTACCGGATATTCAGCAGCAGGAGCAGCGTGGACCTGCAGTCCCTGTGCATCAGTCCCCGGGAGCACTGCTGGGTCCTCTACGTGGACGTGCTGGTGAGTGTGCCGCCCGCGCTGCTGCGGGACACTTGGCTGCCTCCTCCCGCCGCTTCCCCCTGTGAGCTGGGTGCTTTCAGCCTCCACGGGGGTCACTGGGGAGAAGGCGGCTCCTGCGGTAACTGTGTGGAGAGAAATCCAGCGTGTGTATGCCGACACACACGCAACGCCATTCTGCAGTGAGCTTTGGTCCGCGCAGTAATCCAGAGAAGTCCCCAGGGTTGGAGAGACCAGGAGAAGCTGTGGGTGCCAGGCAGGGACAGGCGGGTCTGGAGCGGTGGAGCTCTCTGGGGCCCTTTGAGAGGCTGCTGTGATGGTCCCTGTCTAAGTGAGGAAGCCACGACCCAGAGGGTGGGTGTCGGAGCCGGCGCTGAAGACCTCAAGGTGGCCTGGTCCCTGACAGCAGCAAGCCCGCTGCTCCTAGCCCCTTCCAGGTGAGCCCCAGGCCCTGCCTCCTCCTGCAGAGCTGGCTCCACCTCCTCCACACTCCGCCCCGCCCCGCCCCGCCCCACCTCGCTGAGGGCGCCGGCAGTAACCTCAGTGTAGCTGTAATCGATTTTCCCGCTGTGTAGCAACGTGCTTATTGGGTCTGTTTTCCCCAGTCTTATTAATTTTGTGACCCTTGAGAGAAGTAACAATATCCTCCTCCTCAGATTGAGGACGCGAGGCTAAGCTATCGGCCAGACAGAGCCTGCAGGGAATACAGATAATGAAGAGCTTGTGGACGCAGTGAATTGGACGAAGAGAAACAGCCTGGCTGTTTCTAAACATTGTCTGGACATGAAACAGGCTAGCGCTTTCCGGATGCTTTTAAGTTAATTTGATAATGGACGGAGCTTGGAGAACAGATAGCCTTGGGCTGGGGAGAGCCGTGGTGGAGCCAGCACCACCAGAGTGGGAAAGAAGGTGGTAGCCATTGCCCGGCAGGTCAGGCCCGTTCTGAATGCTCCCGCTCATCGGTGAAATGACAAGTCCGTCTGCGTGTCCTCGGTCCTGGTGAGCAGGTGTACGGTGTAGGGTGACTCCTACCAGGAAGGATCTGGTGTTGATGAGGGCCCAGGCAGCCCTGGTGCTTACCCGGCTACCCCGGGAGGCACAGCCCTGAGCTGTGTTTGTCCCCACAGGGGACCTAGAGGTTGGGTGTCACCCAGGGGTGCAGGCGGAGGTGGACCCAGACCCTGTGAGCGGCCAGCAGGGGAGCGGGGGGCCTCGGGTGGGGCGGGCAGGATGAGGCTCCTTGTGCAGCTCGGCTCGGAGGCGGCAGAGGCTTGCAGGAGCCCCTGGGTGTGATCTTGCTCGGCCCTACCCTCCCCGGCCCGCCCGCTTCTGTGGGAAAACCGCCCCTGTTTAGGCAGCCTTCCTGCGGGGGTGGGGGACAGGCTGAACAGAACCACACGGGTGTGTACAGGTCTATGTGGCTCCGGCCGGCCCTGTCCTTTCCGCGTGCGACCTCCCTTCCGCGGGAGCCTGGCAGAGGGGAGCGCGCTTCGGCTGCACTGACTGCCACGGGGAGCACAGGGGGAAGTGACGCCTACTGTTCCTCCCTCCGCCTGTCTCCCTCAGCTGCTTGAGTGCGGTGGAAACTTGTTCGACGCCATCTCCCTCGCTGTGAAGGCTGCGCTCTTCAACACGAGGTAGGTCTTTGGGGAGCGCACAGGCTCTGAGAACAGGGGTTGTGATGCCGAAAATGGTGAGGTCTGTCTCACGTTAGGCTCCAGAAAAGAGACTGCCCAACTTAAAACTAATACATAGCTGGGCGAGGCGGCTTGCGTCTGTAACCCCAGCACTCAGGAGGCTGAGACTGGAGGATCACTGTGAATTTGAGGCCAGCCTGGGCTACATAGCAGGATTCTATCTCAAAACCACACATTTCTGGGCCGGGGATTTAGCTCAGTGGCACCCTGCCTGCCTGAGTTCGATCCCTGGTACCAAAAACAAAACAAAACAACAGAACAAACCACCCCCCTACATTTCTGTGTTTGTCTTTATATTATTTTCATCAGTGAACACGTATTGTGTAGAAAAGTATTAGAAAGCCACAGAAAAGGGAAAGCATAGCTGGCAACCATGCCAGCTGTTCCTGACTGGCTCTGAGCGGGGATTTTACCTTGCTGTCTCCCAGCGCTGAGAGCACGTGGGGCGCAGTCGCCCGGTCCTCGGTGTGCACGAGAGTCCTGAGAGCCAAGGCAGCTGGTCCCGTGCTCTGGCTGGGGCCAGGAAGTGCTTGCGCCTCCCAGGTAGCCGTGTGGGAGGGGGCCGCTGAGCCCCCTGGAGGTGGCGCGTGTCCACACTGGGTGTGTAGCTGTCTCCCTCCCATGCACGAGCGCTTCTTCGGGGAGTTCCTAGCATTTGAAAGTAAATATGAGGCGGGGTTCATTCTCGGAGAGCTTACAGGAAGCGCACAGAGAGTGGGGTCAGGGCATTAAAAAGGAGGGTTAAAAACTTGGGGCTGTAGCCGAAGAAAATGGTTGAATACGTGAGCGAAGATGCTGCCTTGGGCCCTCGGAGTCCCAGCATTGGGGATTCAGAGCCGCACAGCATGGTTAGCAGGAGGCTGTTCAGTAGCTCCCGTCTTCGTGTCCTGCATCTTGCCTGTCTGTTCGTTGTGTTTGCATCTGGTACCTCTCATGTTAATGTGCCCTGAGACACGTGCATATCCCCCAGAATGGTCACGAAGGTGGTTTTCCCTGCTCAGCTCGTGCACAGCTTAAGCTGTATCTGCTTTCTAGAGGCCTCCGCAGTGAACTCGGGCTGTCTGTATGGGTTAAACAAACACACAGAGTTTCCAGGAGAGACCGTGTTCCACCTGCCGTGCCCCAGACCCCTCGCCGAGGCCACTCAGGGTGTGGGCCTGGCCCTCGCCTGAGGCCACCATCCAGGAGTGTGGGAGCCCGGCCACGCTGGGCCCCGTCCAGGCACTTCATCCCAAAAGTGCCCTGGGGAGGCAAGTGGCAGGGCAGTGGGAGGTTGTGCGCCAAGGTCCTTTTGGAAGGCCACCCGAGCGAGGGCTTCTCTAGCCCTCCTGCCTGGCTGAGTTGTAGCCAGAGGGTTGGGAAATGGAAAGATACTCTGTGTGTGTGTGTTTTTAACATATCAACCCCAAGTTTTGTTTTATTTTGAGACAGGGTCTCGCTGCAGTTTGGGCTAGCCTCAGACTGGAGGCAATCCTCCTGCCTCAGCCTCCCATGTGCTAGGATTGCAGTTGTGCATCACCACACCCAGCCATACTAACCCAAAATTATGTTGGTTGCCCTCTTCTTCAACAGGGTATTCCTTAGTCCTGGGCCCTGACGCAGGGGCTTCAGCCAGGGCAGACCTCAGCAGGACCCTCCCTGGTATGGCTCACTGGCCTAGACACACCGCGTACAGGAGTGTCCTGTGGAGCTCAGGCCTGGGCAGAGGACCTCACTGTCCTGGTGACAGCAGCTCAGGGGCTGCCCCTTCCCCCGGGCTCCTCCACCCTTCTCTGCCCTGCATTGACTTCCTGGGTTGAATGTGTCTCCCAGCACTCAGCGGAAGGGCGGACCATGGCCACCCAGGGCTCCATCCCTGTCCCTGTGTGGTCGCCGCTCTCCGGTGGTGGCCAGTGTGCAAGAGCTAGAGGAGCTGCATGCTTCACGAGGGAGCACACACAGCCTGCTCACTAGTGCATCCAGCTTGTCCAGTGAGCATCGTGCCGAGACTGGGCTTGGTGCCACAGTCACACGAGCTTTGCAGGGCAGTGTGCCCCTGTGAATGGGGCCGGCCACTGGAGGAGCACGAGTTCTGGCCGGGGCAGGGCTGTGTTCAGCTTCATAGACACCACTCTTACCACTGTGTCCTCGCACCAGCAGTGCCAGTTCTGGTCCCACACATTTTTGCCAGCCCTCGGCCTTTCCGTTGTTATCGTTATCTTCCGACGTCAGCCTTCCTGGTGAGTGCCTCTTGGGATCACGTCACAGTTCCGGTTTTCATTCCTCCGTCACATGTTTGAGCTGAGAGACCTCTCACAGGTGACTGGCCGTTGTGTTGCCCTGCGCTTGTGTCAGGAATGACAGGGACAGGGATGGTAAAGTGCAGGCAGGCATAACACAGCCTCTGCTTGTACGATACGGGTTTCAACTCCTATTCTTAATCTCAAGAGAAAGAAAGCATTTTTCTTTCTTCCAGTCAGTGGAAATTTTGATTGTGCTTCTGCTTCTAGGATACCGAAGGTTCGCGTCCTGGAGGATGAAGAGGGGTCGAAGGATATCGAGCTCTCTGATGACCCTTACGACTGCATGCAGCTCAGCGTGGAGAACGTGCCCTGCATCGTCACCCTGTGCAAGGTGTGGCTCACGTCTCCTCCAGCCCGCTGACGCTGCTTACCAAGCTTGGAGGTTACAGTTGCACAAACCATGTAGAAGTCGAGAAGCCCAAACCCAGTGGTTTGGTCACCGGGAGAACGCTGCCCCATAGCGCTTTCCTTTCTTGTCAGAGGCCTGCTACGTGCTCGAGGAGGGGGCTTCTTTTTGGGGTTTTTTGGGTTTTTTTTGGTACCGGGGATCGAACTTGGATCCTCCCGCTTGCAAGGCAGGCGTCAGAACCACTAAGCTAAATCCCCGGCCCCGAGGAGGGGGCTTCTTAAGCCCCTTCGCATACCGTGTCCTTGCTGCGTTTCCTTTAACGCCCTCAGCTCTTTGGGGCCTCAGGCGGCTGAGGAGTGCTGGGGTTGGAAGAGTGTCCCTCCCCTCTGGCACGTTGACCCCGGGCCTGGGTGTCTGACGTGTCGGGTGAGCCTGTGGAAGAGCCCAGGGCCCTGCCGACGTTGGGCCGAGGCTGTTATACTGGCGCTCCCTGGGCTGAGGGTGAGGTGGCTGACTCCCCTCGGGGCTTGTGACGCCCGTGTGGCTGGGCCTCCTCCCCCGGGATCGCCTGGGAGCCTGGAGTATGTGACTCCTTCACGCGGAGCTGCCTGGCCCGAGCAGGCCACCTGGACTTGCCTCGTGGTTGAGCTTGTCCCTTGGCACGGGCCCTCTGGATCTGCCACAGCGGTGAGCGGGATGTCACATGGCCGCACGTGTGACCTCCTGCCCCTGCCCCTCTGCAGGGAGCCTTGTGCCTGTGACCCCGGCAGCCCGTGTTCTGGGCTGTTTCTGTCCTGGCCCTACACGGTGCCCCACAACAGAAATGTGGCGTTGGCCCGGGAGCACAGCAGACCGAGAGGAGATGGAGAATGGGTACAGTGCGTGAGGCCTCTGCCTGGCATCCGTGTCGGGTGGGGACCCGGGGTGCACACGGGCCTCCTTGCCTCTGCAGATCGGCTGCCGGCATGTGGTGGACGCCACCCTCCAGGAGGAGGCCTGCTCCCTGGCCAGCCTGCTGGTGGCAGTCACCAGCTCGGGGGTGGTGACGTGCATGAGGAAGGTGGGCAAGGGCAGCCTGGACCCCGAGAGCATCTTCGAGATGATGGAGGTGAGGCGGCCAGGCGGGTGGGGCCCGGTCCCAACCCTGGACTGGAGCTGGGGGAGCAGCCAGGGGCCTGGCCAAGGGGGTGGGGTGCGGGGCCTGGTCAGGCGAGCAAGTCCCCGCCCCTTCTCTGACCCGCGAGTTTGCACCCAGCCTGCAGAGGGCGCTGGCCTCTCCCACCAGCACGCTCACCGCCGGCTCCCCGCCCTCCCTGCCCTGCAGACCGGCAAGCGCGTGGGCAAGGTGCAGCACACCACGCTTCAGGACGTCCTGCACAAGGAGGAGAGCCTGGGGCCCCGGAGGCAGAAGGTTGGCTTCCTGGGGTGACAGTCGCCCTGCCGCGGGGGACGGTCCGAGCTGTGGTCCAGGCTGGTCTGGAACTCCTGGACTCCTGCCTCAGTCTCCCCAGTCAGTCGCCGGAGCAGTGTGCGCCACTGCACCCAGTCTCCCTTTTCCTTTGGAACTGCTCTGTATATATTTTTTCTTAGCTGTTGAGAATTTAAAATTAAAGTCTGTTTTCCAGTCCCCCGTGGCGTGGCTCACATTCTTCAGCCGAGAGCTATGGCGTGGATGCCTCAGGAGACGCCTGCTCGGAGTTCATGACGGGCCCTGGAAAAGGCCCAGCAGGAAGAGGCTGGGGGAGATGCTCGTGCTGTGTTTGGGGAGTTCTTCTCCCCAGAGCGTGCAGAGCCAGACTCCCAAGAGAAGCACCGTGACCCTGCGTGCCCTGGTGTGCCCTGGTGTGCCCTGGTGTGCCGTGGTGTGCCGTGCCTGGGTGGGGAGAGGAGCCCAAGGCCCCGCCTTCGGTAGCCGCCTGGTCCTTAGCCAGGCTCTTACCGCGCGCCCTTTGGAAGCCTTGTGTTCTAGGCACTCCCTGGTGTGTCCGAGACCTCGCGTGTCAGCACTGTGGATGCTGCCTCTGACTGCTCAGCCTGCTGGGCACCACTGTGGGCAGGGCAGCCTCAGGTCCTGCTCGGCTGCCGTGCGGTGCTGGACGGCGTGGTCTTCTCTGCTCAACTCCTAAGTGGACCTTCAGGCCCCGGGGAGGAGCTGGTGCTCGGAGGGGGACGTGTCGCCTGGTGGGAAGGGCGGCCGGTGTGGCTGAGCCCTGCAGGCTGCCCGCCTGTCTGTGGGGAGGTGTGGCTGCCATGTCAGGCACAGGCTGGGTCTCCAGTCTTCCCTTTTCTGTTTTTCCAGTGAGTGTCCCCTCGGTGCCATGACACTCCATGTCTCTGATGGCAAAACCTGTCCCCACTGTCTGCCGGTCGGCCCTTCGGGGTGAGGCCAGTGCAGGCCTGGGCACGGACAGTTGCTGTAGCTGACAGGACGAGTGCTTCCGACAAGCGGAGCTCAGCTCATCCACGTCCTACGTCCGCCCAGTGAGGCTGTGAACACTGCAGGCACAGACCTAGAGATCTGGGTTCTGTTTGCTCCGGCAAAACTGGGGTCATCTGGTGGCTCTAAGTAAACATGTCGGGGAGAAGCACGTGCACATCAGCCTACGGGCTGAAATGCTGTGTAAGATGCAAGGAGATTTTGCAGTTTCTGGGACCCTGGGCCTCACAGCTCCTGTGAATTCAAGCCCAGAGAGCCCTAGGACTTAGGGGAATCGCGGCCGTGTGCATCTTGCTCACTAACAGCAGTGGTCTCACAGAGGAGTGGCCCACCGATCACACATCTAGAGCACACCAGCCCCGGGGAGGCCACTTGGCAGTGGGCATAGACCTAGGAGTTCCACTTCTGGGAACGTAAGCAAAGTGCATGGCCCAGGGTGCAGGCAGGACCATTAACTACATGGAAGCTCCTCCGTGTGTTTGCTCACTGTGCAGCGGTCTGGGAAGTGGCCTCCTGCAGTGACCTCAGGAGCATGTACAGCCCAGGGTCTCTGGGGACTCGGTGTCCCTGCATGGCAGAGGCACCTGGGGAAGTGCTGCTCTGTGTGGCCACCAGATGTTTGGTTCTCTTCGAACTGCATTGGTGCGGCCAGCGGCAGGGCCTCGGGACAGGATGGGCCCTGTTGTCCCCCCTCACACTCCCAGCTCCCCCTCAGCAAGTCTGTCTCGGGCTCTGACACGCCAAGCACTGGCCCCACAATGGTCCGAGAAAAGCCTCAGCGAAACTGGCAGGTGGCACACACCCTGCCTGCTGCCGGTGCAGTGACAGGGTGAGGACGGCCTCCTGTTACGCTGTTGCTGGGTGAACTGGGCGTGCAGGAGGACACATCACGAGGGGAGGGCCCTGCCACGTGGAGTGCGGAGTCCGTGGTAGCGAGAAAGGCTGCAGCTTTGCTGGCTTCTGTTAGCTGCCCGGCTCTCCCTGGTAGCATGCAGGAGAAGCCCTATGGCCTCCTGGTGCCGGGCGAGGGACGAAACTTTGGGACCCCCAGGCACCCGGCTGGGTTACATCGCTGCTTCTCAGACCTGGAGAGCGTTTCCTACAGCCTGAGTCTTTGTCCTGCGAGTGTTACTGCACCGGCTCAGGAGGTGACATCTGGCCGGCCCAGGTGTGGAAGTTCCACTCAGAGGACCCCCTGACCCCAGGGGAAGACGGGAGGAAGGGTGGGCACTGCCATCGCATGCCTGGCACCAGGCCAGTGAGGGCGCTCACAGTGGCTCCCACACCTTTGCAGATTCCCAGCTGTCTCCCGCACTGCCGACTCCGTGTGTGCCCGGAAGGGGTGTGTAGCAGGACAGAGACCCTCAGCTCATTGGAGTCTGAGTCTGAGCAACTTGCCCAAGGGACTCAAGTGCCAGGGGTCTTGGGTGACTTGGAACTTGACTCCCAGTTCTGTTTCCCTGGCAACACTGCTGACCCTTTTGGGGGTTGGGGGTGCGGGTTGAGACAGTCTCTCTATGTAGTTCATGCTGGCCTTGAACTCCTGGTGATCTTCCTGCCTCAGCCTCCCGAGTGCTGGGATTGCAGGCGAGTGCCACCACGCCTGGCTACACACTGCTGACCTTTGAGGACAAAACGCCTAGGAATGAGATCCCCACGAGAACAGACCCCTCACTGGTGTCTTGCTGTCCCTAAGGCCCACCTAACACAGGACCTTGGCACGGAGCCCCTGGACTCAGAGTCCCTTGCCAACCAGGCTGGACCAGAGGGCCTTCCGAGTGAGGGCCCTGGGTGGATGTGCTGGACCATTCGGGCTTGGTTTTTTTTCCAGTACTGGGGATCAAACTCCAGACTTGGCGCCACTGAGCTACATTCCGGCCCCATTGGGACTTGGTTTTGATGCTCCCAGGGCCCCAGTGTTCTTGGAGCCATGCACTGGGTGTGGGGAGTTCTCCTCTCCCAGGGCCAGGCCCATTTGTTTCTGCTGATGGTCCAGGCCAAAAGGAAACAGCTGTGGGTGGGGAGGGCTGTCTGTGGCCAGTGTCCTTGGTGCTGGGCTGCTGTGGGTGGAGGGCCCGGGGCTTGTTTGTGTAACTCAGGCTCCAGCAGCTGGGAGGAGAAAAGGAAGAGCAACCCTGGACACGGACTGAGCCTTCCACGAGCCCCTTTCCCGACTCAGGTTGTCCTTTGTGCAGGAGGTGATGGACAGTTCCTTTTCTGGCTGCACCCGCCTTGCGCAGCTGTGGTCGGCCAATCTGGAGTAAAGGGAGCCCATGGATCGGGCTGCAGGGCCGCTCTGTCCACCTGCAGAGCCATGGGCTGGCCGGGACCTGGGTGTGGTAGTCTGGAACTGCACCCAGCACCCAGTAGGTGCAGCTGCTCCCCTGCTCTGGGTCGCTGTCCCGGGTGCCCTGGACCCACAGGAGCTGCCCTGGGTGGCCCGGTGGGGTCTTCCTGAGATCCGCTCCTCGAGGCGGTGCCCGGAGGCTTCCATCCAGAGGGGCTTCTAGAGGTTAAAAACCTCATTACAGAGCAAAGCTGGGCCAGGAGAGAAGGACCCGATGGCTGATTTGTGGGATTGCTCCCAGGCCGCTGCCAGCGGCCCTGGGCGATGTTTTGGGGGTGTTGGAGAGGGCCGGTGGGGAGGTTGGAGAGGGCCGGTGGGGAGGCGCAGCCACATTGAGGGCAGGACGGAGAGGTGGAGGGAGCCGGGGCCCTGCTTGGCGCAGGAGCCCGTGTCTTGCTGTGGAGCCAGGCGCACTGCCTTGTCACAGTTCTGAGTCCACCGAAACGGAAAAAATCATGAAATGTCTAAACAAGGTTACAAAAAAACCGATATATTCCAGATGCCTTGAGTGACAGTGCTTTTAACACACACAGGGCGTGGGGCGGTGTGCTGTGTGTGTAACGCACCTTTCTGAAACGGCAGCCTGCGGGTGACAATGGCTTAGAGGGGGACAAAGTTGTCACCTCCCGAGACTGCCGCTGCATTTCTGGGCCCAGCAGACCCTGCCTGTGGGACAAGCTGGGCATGGCGTGTGCCTGGCCTGTCTTAAGTCACTGACAGCACCAGCAGGCTCCTGTGCACACACATGCACACGTGTACACACACACACACGTACACAACCTGCAGGTGAGGCGACCAAGATGCTGCCCACTGCTTATGCAGACCTGAGGCCAACTTCCTACTGGCAGGTTCGGAGTCAGCCTGCCAGCTCGGGTAGGGAAGAGCCCCCCGGGCGTGGCCCTCGTGTACTGGCAGAGGGGCAGATGGGGCCCCGCACCCCCACACCACAGCCACAGGCTCTCTCCCGTGTGCATCTGGTCTCAGCTCCCCACTTGGCCCTGTGTGGGCCTCGATGTCCCCTCGAGGCAGGAAGAAACGGCTGGAAAGACAAAAGACCGGAGGCCCCACCTGGGAGCCTTTCTGCCCTGGACCCACCCTCAGGGTTGGACATTAGCCCAGGACTGGGACACCGGGTCTAAACACAGCAGGACAGGTGACCAGTGACTCAGCTTACGCACAGTGAGTCCGGGGCCTGCGCCTGCCACTCTCGCCCGTCCAGCTCTGATCACCAGGTCCCTGGCCACGCAGATTTGACCCTGGTGGGCCATGGGCGCCATGACAGATCCTCCCAGGGCTACAGAAGGTCAAGGCCTCCACCGCCCTACGGAGAAGGAGCTGAGCCAAGTGCTCTTCGGCAGGAGCCACACCTCAGAGCAAACCCCAGTCCCACCCCGCCCTGGGTGCCCTGCAAGCCCCTGCAGACAGTGTGACACCCCTGCCTCAGGCTCCCAGGACCTGGCATGGCCCGGCTGCCTGACAGAGGCCCCAGGTACCAGCAGGGCCAGCGGGTCCAGCAGCGTCCTGACTGAGCAGAGTCCTCCTGGCCTCCCAGCGACGGGACACGCAGCAGCCAGTGTCCTGAGTCACCTCACGGAGCTTTTTGGAAAACACCCACCCCAACACACCTAGGACACAGCGTCCACCATCAATTGCGTCCCGAGAAACGGGGCTCTGGCTGCCACGTGCTTGGAGAGCATCCTCCTGGTTCTGTCAGCTGCAGCAGACTGGGCCAAGGCAAGGAAGCGGGGGAAGCAAGGGCTTAGAGAAGGAGGTGGTGGGAGAGAAGAGGAAAAAGAGGAGGAAGAGGGGAGGAAGGAGGAAGATTAATTTCCCTAGCCAGCTGCCACCCGCCCAGAGTTCAGGACAAGGGCCTATGGGTTATGTAAGTGTCAGGCTTGGATCGGGTCACTGCTGGCCCAGCTGTGGGGCTGAGGGTGGAGGCCTGGAGGGGAGCCTAGTACACAGCCCTGACCCCAGCTCCTCCACCTCTCCAGGCTGGGCAGAGGAGCTTAGGGTCCAGCTGGCCCCATGGCGACCCAATGACCAGCGCCCTGCTGTGACCAGTCCCCATTCCTGCTCCCCGCCAGGGGAGCTCCAGGGCTCCAGGGCCCACGCAGAGCCTGTGCTTCCCTGGGACGCTGCTCCCCGTGCTGGGCTCAGGTGCACACAGGAGTCAGGACAGGGACGCCTCCTGCCCCTTCCTCCGCCTGTGTCACCTCCTAGGACCCGAGCATGAAAAGGCGGAGTGGAGCAGAAAGGCCTCCTGCAGAACAACAGGGCAGACATTCTGAGCCGACAGCCCCCTCGCCGTCCCCTGGGAGCTGGGCAGCTTGGGTTCACAGAGCCTCAGTTTCCCTCACTGTAGATGGGGAAATGACAATGCTTTGCTCACAGGGTCAGCGTGAGGCCACAGTGGGCAAGTGACAGTGGACCTGCAGCCCCACTCCTGCTCCGGGAACTCGCTGCTCAACAGACACCTCTTAGGAGGCAGGGCTGGCAGGTGTGGTGGTACACACCTATAATCCCAGCACCCAGGAGGCTGAGGCAGGAGGATCGCCTGAGTTTCAAGGCCAGCCTGGGCTACACAGTGAGCTCAGGATCAGCCTGAACTACATAGCGAGACTCTGTCTCAAAAAATAAAAAAACAAAAAGGAGACAAGGCCAGCACGTGGATGTTCTTGAGCAGCACAGCTCAGTGGCTGCTGGGCAGTTCCCCTTCTGCAGGGTTGTTGTCTCTTTCTTTTCTTTATTATTATTGTTTTTTGCCACGCCCCAGCCACGTCTTGGGAGGGTTTTCTGGACAGAGGGCCTGGTGGCCGAAGCCATAAGACGCACAGACTGGGGCGGAGGCCGCCACTGCTTCCCGCCCAGGCCCGGCAGCAGCAGCAGCATGGAGCTCCTCAGACCCCGCCTGCTCCTCTGCGTCCTCGCCTTCCTGACCCAGGGTGCCGCCGAGCCACCAACCTCCAAGCCCAAGAAGGCTGCCAACGCCCGGAAAGGTAAGAGGTTCGGGCCCCTTCTCTGGACCAGGTCTCCCTCCCGCTCCTCCTCCCCCCACCCCTCCTCCTCTTCCTCCTCCTCCTCCTCCTCCTCCTCCTCCTCCTCCTCCTCGGTGTGCGCTGGAGAAGCGTCCCAAGGCAGCAGCTTTCCCGCTCATCTTCTGGCCTCACACCTGGGCTGGGGCCCAGCTCAGTGCTAACACCCTCCTGACATGCACAGCGCCCCAGGTTTGACTCCCAGCCCCGCAGAAACTGAAAAGAAACCGAAGTCGCTGGGTCCCCAGCGTTCGCCCTGGAGCCTGTGTGGAAGCTCAGCCCCAGCAGGGGCGCTGCAGGGCTGCGCAGCGGGGAGACTGATGTCTCCCACTGAGGGTCTGAGGGTGCAGAATAGTGGGGGCGCCTGGCCCAGACACTGCTGTGGTGACGCAGAGCGGGTGTCACGGCCGGGTCAGACACTCCCAGCTGCCCTGGGTGCGGTGATCTTGGGCTTCCAGCTGTGAGGTCACCCCACTGTGTGGACACAACATCAGGGATGCCATGGCAACAGGAGGGGCTGTCCCCACACCACACGGGAGGTGGGAGGCAGGAGGTCAGGGGTGGCTGCCCCAGGCCCCCTGCACCTCCTTCCAGGGCCCCACAAGGCTGCCAGAAGGAATGGGAAGGGCTGGGTCTTTTGAGACAGGGTCTTGTAGCCCAGGCTGGCCTTGAATTTGCGGTGATCCTCCTGCCTCAGCCTCCTGAGTCATGGGATTACAGGTGTGCACTACCATGCCCACCTACAAGCATGGGCAGATCCAGGAGCTGACAGAAAACCCCAGACTGGGAACGGGGCTGGGACCTGCCTGGTGTGTACCAGGCCCGGTCCATCCCCAGCACTGAGGGAAAGAGAACAAAAGAGAAAATCATTTCCAAGGTTGAGCTTAAACGTGAACAAAGACAATTTCAACGCGGACACAACATTTGCTCGGCAAAGGCAATTCGTGTGAAATGCTATCTTCATTGTATTCGTGTGGAATCTTCCAGAAGTTGGCACAGTGTTGCGGTACCTCTGGGAAGAGGAATGGCTCGGGGACAGTCTCCCTGGAGGGAGGTTTCAGCTTTGGAGCTCTTTGGGTTTTTGGTGATACGCATTTGTGACCTCCTACAAAATGCTTGTGTAAGGAGGAGAAGACAGAGCAGGGCGTGGTGGCGCACGCCTGCAATCCCAGCACTGGCAGGCCAGGCAGGAGGACTGCCAAGAGTTCAAGGCCAGCCTGGGCTACCTGGCGAGACCCTGTCTCAAAAAGTGAAAACCAAAACAAACAGAAAAGACTGAGTGGGTGTGTGGTTGTCCGAGCCCTTATCAGAACTGACACTGAGGAAACTTGGTGAAAGGCACAGCTTCAAGGCCAGAGCCAGGGCACCAGGGGAACGCAGGGAGCTGCACACTGGCCTCCACTGGCCTCTCCACTGAATGCCCTTCTGCAGGGCCCAACCCTCACTCTCATGTGGCACCCTGGGCTAATGCATCATGGGACTGGGGACAGAGGGACCATGACCCCAGAAGCAGAGGCCTGGGCGGGGTGGGACATGCATCGGCCCGGGCTCCCAGCCCACCCACTTCCTGCGTTGCTCACACCTGGCATGTTCCATCCTGAGTCCTGCTGTGGTCCCATGGAGGAATCCATGGGTGCACAGGGCCCTGACCCCGCCCCTGGGGGACATGGGCTTCACAGAACCTGTTGCCCCCTCTAGGCTGAACTCCTCTGGGGTTCCAGAATGGCTGGGGTCCCCTCTGCAGACCCTCGGCCCAGGCCCCTGGCCAGCTGAGCTGCATCCTCTGCCTCAGTGTCCTCGCTGGTGATTGGTGGTAGGCGGAGCCCAGAGCCTGCCTGAGCTGCCACTGCGCAGACTGAAGAGCCTGGCTGGATGGGCGTGGTGGGGCAGGCAGTTGTCCGGCACTCTGGGAGGCTGAGGCAGGAGGACTGCCAAGTTTGAGCTCAGCACGAGTAATTTAGCAACACTGACTCAAAAATAAAAAGGGGCTGGGCTGTAGCTCAGCGTGAAAGCGCTGGATTGCATCTTTATTTTTTTTAATTTTTTTTTTTGGTACGGAGGATTGAACTCGGGTCCTTGCCCTTGTGGGGCAGGCGGCAGAACCACTGAGCTAAATCCCCGGCCTAGATTCCATCTTTAGTACAGCAAGAAAAGCCTGGTCCTCCTGCCCGCCGAGGCTGTGAGCTGGGGGTGGGGGGCATTATCATCCATTTTTATTTTTTATTTTTTGGGTACCTGGGATCAAACTCAGGACCTTGCACTTGTGAGGCAGGCAGTGGAACTACTGAGCTACATCCCCAGCGCTACTTTCTTTTTAAATTAATTTTACTGGTACGCTTCGATATACATAAAGCTCACATTCACCATAGGGAATCTGCACCTGTACACAGTGTATCTCGATTCTTCTTTTCCCCCATTCCCCTCCCCTCCCTTCCACCCTTTGTCTTTGTCTTTTGTTTTCTTTCTTTTTTGTAGCAGAGGCTGAACCAGGGCCCTCACACCGACTTCCATCCCAAGTCCTTGTTATGTTTTATTTTGAGAACAGAGTCTCGCTAAATTGCTAAATCTCCCAGGTTGGGCTCACACTGCCTGCCTCAGCCTCCCGAGTGCTGGGACCCCAGGTGTGTAAGGACAAAGCCTTCCGGGAAGCCAGCGGCTGGCCCGGACGGAGGGCAAGGCGGGCAGCGGTGCCCCTCACTGGCCACCCCTGTGCCCGCTTCCTCCCCCTCCTGCAGACCTCGTGAGCCCCAAGATGATCGCGGAGCTGCAGGGCCGGCTGGACAGCCTGGCGCAGGAGGTGGCCGTGCTGAAGGAGCAGCAGGCGCTGCAGACCGGTGAGAGCGGCGGGGCGAAGCCGGGCTGCGTCTGCTGCCCCCTGGCTGCCCCGGCCCCGCCGGCCGCAAGCGCCACCAAGCCACGAGCGAGTCCCAGCAGGGGGACAAGCGGCACCCAGCCGGCCTGTCCTCCCGCGCGGCCTTCCCGGCCTCCGTCCATGCTCAGCCCTTCCCCTGGCGGGGGCGGGAACTCCTGGGCCGGCCGCCTGTCTGGGTCCCTTGCGCGCTGCTCCCGGCGGATCTCAGGGAGGGGGCGGGGCGAGAGGAGGAGGGCGGGGCGGGCAGGGAGAGGGGCGGGGCGTGGCCTGCGCCCCCCGTGACCCCGCCCCGTGTCCCTTCCCGCAGTGTGCCTCAAGGGCGCCAAGGTGCACCTCAAGTGCTTTCTGGTCGTGGCTCAGGCGCTCGCCTTCCACGCGGCGGGAGAGGACTGCATCGCGCGCGGGGGGACCCTGGCGGCGCCGCGCTCGGAGGCGGAGAACGAGGCGCTGCGCGAGTACGCGGCGCGCAGCCTGGGCGCGGCGGCCGAGCTGTGGCTGGGCCTGCACGACCTGGGCTCCGAGGGTGCCTGGGTGGACGCGAGCGGCGCACCCGCCGCCTTCACGCACTGGGAGTCGGAGATCACGGCGCAGCCCGACGGCGGCGCGGCCGAGAACTGCGCGGCCATGGCTGGGGCGGCGCACGGGCGCTGGTTCGACCGGCGCTGCCGCGACGCGCTGCCCTACGCCTGTCAGTTCGCCATCGTGTAGCGAATAAAGTCGGTGCCACTCGGCCCAGCCGCCGCGGTCTCAGTCTGTCTGGGCGCGGGCGGCGGGGCCGCTGCAAAAGGAAGGAGAGGCCGAGGGAAAGACGAAGCACAGAACCCTGGCCTGCTGTCTCCTGTTTTTGCAGCTAAAATTTTTTTTTCTTTTTTTGGCTTTTTCTAGACAGGGTCTCACTGTGCAGTTCAGGCTGGCCTTGAACTCGCGGCGATCCTGCTGCCTCAGCCTCCCAAGTGCCGGGACGACAGGCGTGCACCACCACGCCCTGCACCTTTTTATTTTTCATACAATTTCAGACTTCCAGAAAAGCTGCAAGAACTTCTGATTCCCCAAGTCCTAACGTTTCCTTCTGCGCGCTTCACCCTTTTATTACCTTGACAGTAAATGCAGACAGGATGCCCGTTTGTCCTAGTGCTCAGGGTTCCCTGAAAACGAAGATTTCTCTATTGAGGCACAGCGCGGCTCTCCAAGTCAGATTGTAGGCGACAGGCTGTCCTTAGCCTGGGCGCAGCCGAAGGCACGTTTCCAAGCTTTTGGTAGCATCTGCTCCCTGCTCCCCCCATTTCCCGAGGGCCTGGGCCGCCATCCTCCTTCTGGGGACCCATTTCTGGGGTGCTTTGCTCAGCCTGGAGGAGCGGGGAGATTCGCACCCTGCGCCTGAGGCAGATAGGACAGGCGCCAGCGGAGCTCACCAGTGTCCCCTCCCTGCCACTCCGAAAGTTGGGTGGGCGTCGCTGGCTGCCAGAGAGGAGCACCTTCCGGAGCCCACCGTGCTGCAGGACTTGAAACCTGTGGTTCGGTTTAACTCTGCTCTCTCGGGCGGGCGAGATGCGTCATCATGAGGGGAGCTCAGGGAGGCCGAGGTTGAACCCAGGGCGATCCTGGCCGCGTGCGACAGCACCTGCCTGGATTTCCGGGGAGAAAGGGGGAAGCGGCCCCTGCAGCTCCCGGTGCGGCCTGGCCTCCCGCGGGAAGCGTCCCTGTCCTGCCGGCGTGGCTGTCACCCGCTGTCCGGGTTCGACGCCTCTTTCTCCTTGCTGGCTTTGCGTCGGGCCTCGGCGAAAATCTGGTGAGGGTCTGATTGAGGGGGTGGGGCTGGCAGGGAGCCGCGGGCACGGGCCAGGTCTGCGGTCCGTCATCGTCGCAGACAGCTCCTGGCGAGTCCCGCACTTACGGGAGGAGGGAGGGGACCCGCGCTGGGGGAGCGGAGCAGGCTCCAGGGCGTGCGGCGCCGTGCAGTTGGCCAGCTTGACACACCTGTGTCGCCTTCTGGACCCCCCCTGCCCCCTGAGGCCTAGCAGGTAGAGGCGCGCAGTCCCCGCCGGCGGCAGCGGAAGCGGCTGCTTCCAGCAGGTGGCAGCATGGGCCAGAGAACCCTGATGGCCTTTGCCAGCCGCGAGTGCGCTGGCGTTGGGGACATTGTCATGCTCAAACTGGGCACGCTTGTCCTCCACTTTTGAGGGCTTTGCTTTTTTAAGTTTATTTTTGTGTTTTGGAGACAGGGTCTCACCATGTATCACAGGCGGGCATTGGAATCATGACAATCGTCCTGCCTCGGCCTCCTGAGTGCTGGGATTACAGGCATGTGCCACCATGCCTGGCTTTTTTTAGACTGGGTCTTGCTGTGTCGCCCAGGTTGGCCTGGAGCTCCTGAGCTCAAGGGATCCTCCCACCTCAGCCTCCTGATGATCTTGTCTGTATTTTAAATTTTGTCATTTTTGTTCATCGTGGATTTTTTGGGGGGTTAATTTTGACTTTTAAAAAATACGGTATTCAGATATTGTTTATCTTGTTTACTGATTTTTGTGTGTGTGGTACTGGGGCTCAAACCCAGGGTCACTGTACCACTGAGCTACATCCTCAGGCCTTTTTACTTTTTATTTTTTTGAGATGGACTCTGGCTAAATTGCCCAGGTGGGGCCTGAGATTGGGATGCGCCTGCCTCAGCCCCCTAGAGTGCTGGGATCACGGGCGTGTGCCCTACGCAGGGTGTGCAATGATAGGTTGTGTTTTTTTTTTTTTTTTTGGTACCAGGGATTGAACTCGACTCCTTGCACTTGCAAGGCAGGCAGTGGAACCACTGAGCTAAATCCCCAGCCCCAGCAATGATACTTTTAAGGTGCTTAATTTCTGGCTTTTCTGTGGAGTAGAGCTGCAGGGCATGGCACAGGGCAGAGGCCCGGGGGCCAGGGCAGCATATCCTCCTCATTCACCTCCATGCCTCCTCATAAAGGAAAAGCTGACAAATGAGGGAGGCAGCCGGAGACCTGGAAATATGGGTGCAGGAAATGGGAAAATAGGAGCAGTAACCCATCCTTTTGCAAATCTAAGATTTAATGTTGACTCCCCCTTTATTCTCTGACTCATGAACCATTATTTTATTTTGTTTATTTTTGTATCTTTTTTGAGACAGGGTCTCACTGTGCAGTTTAGGCTGGCCTAGAACTCACTATGTAGCCCAGAACTTACAATGCTCCTCCCGCCTCAGCCTCCTGAGTGTTGGGATTACAGGTGTGCACCACCATGCTGGGCATGAGCCATTTTTAAAAAAACTATTCATTTGATTAAGAAAATTCACTGCCTGCCTTGGAAGCCCAAGGTCCCGAGTTTGATCCCTGGTACCAAAAAAAATAAAAAAAGAAAGAAAGAAAGAAAGAAAGAAAGAAAGAAAGAAAGAAAGAAAGAAAGAAAGAAAGAAAGAAAAGAAAAAAAAAGAATGTTTAGTTATATTTATAAAAATATGTAATAGACCTGTGATTTTTGGATGAATTGTGTGCTAACAGAATGTGTTGGTTGGCTTTCCATTGCTGTGACAAAATGCCTGAGACAGCCACTGCTGTAAGGAGGAAAAGTGGATGCCAGCTTACAGTTTCAGAGGTGTCAGTCCATGGTTGAGGCCCCATTGCCTTTGGGCCTGTAGTGGACAGGACAGCAGGGTGTGGGCACAGAAGAAAATGCTGACCCTGTGGTGGCCAGGAAGCGAAGAGCAAAAGGGTGGGCTGGGGTCCCAGGGCTCCCTTCATGATCACAGGGACCCAGCTGTGCCCCAAACCTGGGGTGTGGGGGTGGCTCACACTGAGGTTCTAATAATCACCAGAGCCCTGTGCTTTCGACCCCTGTGGGCTCCCTGAGCTGTCCCCACTCTCTGGGCCCCTTCTGCTACCCGAGCCATTGCTGGTCACATTCCTCCTGTCCTCCCCGCCCCAGCGTCTCTACAGCCTCAGCCACACCCAGGCCACCGAGCTGCTTGTGTGGAAAGAAGATGCCTTCAAGATGTGCAGGGGTTGGGCCTGCCTCGCTCACAAACACGCATCTTCTCTGCACCTTAGACCTCCAGGCAGTAATTCTGCCTTTGCTTTTGGCTTTGCAAAGAGAAAACAGGGATCTGTCTACCTATCATCTGTCATCTACCTGTCACCTCTCTATCTATTATCTATCTATCTATCTATCTATCTATCTATCTATCTATCTATCTGTCATTATCACTTATCTATCTGGGATCAAACCAGGGCCTCACACGCCCCAGGCAGGACATGGGGTGTTAACAAGGAAGACCATGCTCAGGCTGACCGGAAGCCCTTGGCTGTGGGATGACTGTGCTGGATGTGTGAGCCTGAGGAGGACATTCCTGGACTTAGCTCATGATTGAGGAAAGTGAGGTGCAAAGGTAGCTCTGAGGCTGTGCAAGCACAAGGACCCGAGTTTGATTCCCGGTACCAAAACAAAAAAAAGGTAGCTCTGGGGGCACTGGTCCCGGCCCCTGAGGTGCCAGCCGCCGCCATGGAGAAACATGCCTGTCTTCGGGACACGGCAGAAGAGTTGGTGGGGTGGGCGTGGGACGCCGTGATGGGTGCCGGATGCAGGCGAGCACTCACCCCCCCGATTACCGGGCCATCTGTGAGGCCTCGTGCCAGGCCCTGCCTCACCTGCTGTCCACGGCTACCCAGTTATGAGTGTGGCTCATGAGTCTGCCAGTTGAAAGCCAGGTGTGGTGCTGCATCCCTGGAATCCGAGCACTCGGGAGGCTGAGACAAGAGGATCGCTGAGAGTTCGAGGCCACCCTGGGCTACACAGTGAGTTCAAGGGCAGCCTGAACTACAAGGGGAGACCCTGCCTCCAAAAACAAAGAAAAAAACAATCCAACATGAGCAGGAAAGTCGATCATCATGCTGAGCAAAATAAATTGGACTCAGACAAATTTTGCATATTGTCTCCAATATGGTGAATAGTTTTAAAAAGATGACTGTGAAGTAGAAAGGAAGGGAGTAAGGAATAGGGGCCTAAGGGCAGGTAACAGAGGGGATGGAGATGATCCAAATATATGCATTGAAACCTAACACTTTGTAAAATTAGTAGGCACTAATACTAAAGGAAAAAGAAAAGACAAAAGGAACAAACAGCAAAGAAACTGGAAGTGACCTCAGAGTGGCGACAGATGGAAGTCTCGTACTGCGGGCGGGCTGGGTGCGAGCGGGGGGTGTGGGAACTCGAGCTCATCTGCACAGCTGAGGGGAGCAGCGCAGGGAAAAGGGTGACTGGAACTTGCGGAGCATCGCAGGCGCCCCTGGGGAGCACTTGGGACCCTGAAAGAAAACGATGAAAGGTGAAAGCTGATCCCACTGAAGGAAGAACCTCGACAGTCTGCCACGTTGTGGCAAGGCACTTACTGTGCACAGGGTCCTGTGGAAGGGGAGGAGGGACTCTGTGCCATGCTCTGACAGAGTACAGGCCCTCCACCCATGACCGCAATAAACAGTGTGTGTTTAACCCTAAAAATACAGTAAGAGACATCGTGCCAGCAAATCCTCCCCGCATTTTGAACACACTCATCCCCTTGCTCTGGCCATTTCTGAAACAGCTCTGGAGTCCTCTTTCGTGAGAGTCTTATGAAGTAGGGTGGAAAATACAGTGACTGCAGCCACCAAGCGCCATCCCATGGAGAGGCAGCTCATGAAAACATGGCACTGTGACCTCATCCACCTTGGTCACCGGAGCTGGCACTGTGTGGCTCTGGCTCTTCCCAAAGTCAAGATGACCGTGTAAGGAAAGCATTTTGAATCCATTCCGGACAGGGAGGCAGCCAGGATGGCACAGCTAAAGAGACTCAGGAAAGAGGGCTCCAGAGCTGCTGCAGAAAGTGTCGAGAACCACGGAATGAGTGTATTCAACTTGAGGGGGAGGATTTGGGGGTGATTCACAGCAATGTGTCTTTCACACTTAAAACATTTTAAACAATCACAGCTCATATTCTGTGTGCCTAATGCTTTATTGTTTACTTATTTAATTTTTTTGAGACAGGGTCTCACTATGTAGCCCAGGCTGGCCTTGAACTCACAGCAATCCTCCTGCCTCAGCCTCTCAAGTGCTGGGATTACAGGTGTGTGCTACCACACCTGGCCCTAATGTTTTAAATTCATGTATTTAATGTTAATTTTTTCCTACTCTTTCCGTAATGGAGAGTAAGACGCTTTTGATGTTCTGACAAACACCTTGAGAGTTCAAGAATACTCGTAATTTTCCCAAGTGATGATTAAGATTGAGTGGCCTCAGCTTCATGGTCATTTTGGGAGTGC